AGCACCAGCTCCACGGCTCCACGTTTCTAAACTTCAACGCAAGCTCTTCCACATCCTTCTGCATAAATTTAACAATGTCACGGTAGATCTCAGGAAAATGGCTCTCCACAGCTCTCTGGGCTCTACTATCCTTCTCAATGCTGATGTGACCGGCACATGAAGGCTTTTGAAGGGGAAGCCCCAGTCGTCCGCTTGAAACTGCCTAAGGAAGTCAAGGTTAAGGTTGAGCTTGCGCGATCTGTTTTGCTGTCTCCTCTAGCCCAGCTGGACTTTTGCCCCCCGGTTGATGGACAGGTCACTTGCTCGGACGCGTCGTGCCAAGGAAGGGGTCTTTGTGCGTCCCAGCGCTTGCTGAGTATGGGGTGAGTGCACTGAAAGCCCAAGGGCATCAGCCGGTCTCTTCTCAGTTCGCTGCTGTGAGAGCCATGCCACTCCAACGCACCGCGTTTCGGTGAACCTGTTGCGCAATGGACACAGCGTTGTCAAACCCCATCGGGAGGACACGAGACACCAGCGCGCAATCCCTGCCTTGCATTGCCTGGGGCACCAACTCAGGTGGCACACCGTGGCTAAAGGTGAAGAACTTTTTCGATGCCTCCGGAACCTCGAACAAATAGAAGAAGCATCCAATGTCCTCACTGCTAAGTAGCGCTACTTCGCCGATGTATCCCAAGGAACGGCATAGGTGATTGACCAGTATAAGGTTCAGTATAAGCCGTTGTGTTTCGACGCCGTCTTTAAATTCACCCGTGCCCACGGAGAACATGCCGTTTAGCAGAGGCCTGCCGCCGATATGACATAGTGACTCAATGGGATATACCTCACAAACTCCACGACCCAGAAGGCCCGGGCAAACATCCAGCCAATGCTCACGTTGAATCATAACCCGGGGCGGCTTCGCGTAGACCCAGTTTTGATTCGGATAGTAGAAGGCCCTCAACCTTTCGACATAAGCCTACCTGCAAAACGGTTCCAATTCCAGTCCTCAGAACAAATTCACTGATCGCCGGCCAAAAAGGTTTCTGTGCCTATTTCACCTTTTCTCCACAAAGATCCGCTGACTTACAAACAGAAAAGGCAGAAGAACAAATGTCCGCCTCAGCAACTTCCCACATAGCGTTTCGTTTAACGAGTTCCCTCAAATTTTCGAGCTCCTCATCGAGAGTGCAGAAGATTCTTTGCCCTCACCGGCCGACTCCACGTTCTCCCAGTGGGGACTTCTTCCACCTCCAAGACTCTGCGGCCGGTCTCCATGCGCCTCAAGCCGCTTAGGGGCAGCCCCCCTCCTCCAGCACTCCCAGTAGTGTTCGTTTCTCTTACGATGCTTGAGCCCGTTGTTCTTTGGCTTCCGGTGATTCTTTTGCGCTGGAATGGGCCCAATCCAATTCCCTGAGCGATGTCCCGGCGGCAGATAATTGGGAGGTGCCGGAACTTGCTTATTGGCCCGAGTGGTCTCCTCGTCCTCAGGCTCGCTCTCGACTGCACTCTCTGATCCAGGAGTTTTACCTCCACTCCCAAGTTCTCTGCACTGTAATCCTCCTCTTTCCGTCACTAGGGGATGGCGATCTTCTCCTACTCCGTGAGCGACTCCTTCTGGTCCGGATCGTTTCCACTAAGTCAGGCCTGGCCTTGGCCTTTGGTGTCAAATTCAACCCTGAAGGGGTCTTTCCTTCCACCTCTTCTTCAGCTTGATCCAGACTCCTTGACCTCTCTTGCCTCTTTACTTTCTTTTCCTTTGTCGGCATCAACGACTCTTCCAGGAGCTGTGGATGGAACTGGCATCTTGCGGCGACTGGTGACGCCTTGGTTCACACTCGCTCCCGCCTGGCTCTTCTCCTCTGAAGCCTGTGTCTTTCTTCTCTGGTCGTTCTTCTCCAGCTGCCTCGCCTCAGTTGGAGATAGGTGGGCCTCCGGGAACCAACAGATCTCGAAGTCGAAGCTGATGAGAGGGCAGCGCGATGTGGGTGCGGCTGAGGATGTGGCCGCTCCTCGAAAAGCCTCTGTGGTGCCCTCGTTGAAGAGCACCTCAAAGATCTTCCTGAAAACCCCACAGCAGCTGCAATTGCACCGTCCCGGCTCGTGCGACACCCTCGAGGGACCAAGGGTGTCGGACATACGCGGCAAGCCGAGATGTGCTGTGGCATCGACCGAATTCAGGTGTGAATCGTTTTTACATACGGGCCGATTAACATATACATATGAATTAACCAACCATAAAGCAGAAATACATAATCACCTAACCTAGCCTAAGGAAGACTCACAATCTACAAAGCCAACCAGAACAACTGTCACGCCTCTTTACAACCCCATACCTGCTTGTGGAACCTGCACCTCGAGAGCTAAGAGTGCTTGGGCCCGGGCAAATGGGAGCCACGGCGCGGAGGCCTTTTGCAGTCTTTGCACACTCTCCATACGCTCCACGTATTGTTAGGTGTCGCAGCATGTCAAAAGTGCATGCTTTGGTATCAGTTTGTTTGATACAATACCCAACAAAGAAGATGTATCAACAAACAAAACTGAACAATATTGCAAAAAATGGTGCAAGCACAATCAAGGGAGCACATCTAATGCCATGAGACAAGTGAGAAAAGCGGACGTTTTTTAGTAAAATGTCTGGGGGATCCAACGGGCATCATGTCACAGGTGTGCAGCAAGGTCTGCAGCTCCACATCGTCCTTGAAGAATTAGAGCAAAGACAGTAGCTTCTTGTTACTAGTAGTAATGCCAGGAGCTCCTTAGTAGCTTCTTGTTGCTGGACTTCAAACCAGTTGGAACTCATTCAAGTTGCATTAGTATGTTCTTCTGACCGGAAAACTGTCAGCTCCAAGATTCGTCTCTTGGCACATCAAGTTGGGCGAAGTCCTGCCAATCCACCAAAGCATATCAAAGTGCAGCTCAGTCTTCGATGATTCGAACTCTCAAACTCTCCTCCAGCATAATGCCCCTGGAGAATCACGGAATAAGGCTCTCCCTCGGGGCCAAAAGCATTCAAAACGCAGAACAATTCCACCCTCTCAGGTCCTAAGTCTAAGACTGTTCATTGGAAAAAAACATGGCAACTTCACCCTGCTGTTTCTACGGACGCACGGCTTTTGGGGTTGTGCAGAACACACATCACCAGAGATCAAAGCCAAGCTGCTTCATGCAACTTGAAGAACATATCGGCAGCGTAGTCCTTGGCGAACGAACATCCTCCCCATCCTCCCTCCGATTCTGAGGCTGGGGCGTCCAAATGCCAAGGCACTGAATTCAGATCTAAAATCGAAGGACTCGCTGCGAAACTCACATCATCAAGGTCGCATCTGCCTTGCACAAAGATCAAATGCGACTTCGAGTGAATTTGGGCAATCCCATGGGAGACCCGCAAAGATCCTCAACACTTCGTGGGGAACACCTTTTCTCACGCACGTCCGCGCGTCAAAAGGGCCTTCCAAAAAGGCCTGTCAAAACGGTTTTTCTGTCAAACGCAAAAAACGATTCCCCGAAGCGACCCACTATTGGTACCAGGAGACGCTGGAGTAGACACCCAACCAACAAAGGCGCTCCAGACAATGCTGAGCAAAGTTCCATGGCTCACAAGTCAATGACTCTCGGATGCCCAAGCAACAACGACGAAGTCCACGACTTCGTGGCGTTTCGATTTGAAAAATGGACGCCCGCGATCTGCCGAACACACGATCTGCCGGTGATCTGAACGCACCCTGCACGTTCCAAAAATCAGTGAGATGAAAGTATTTTCAGTGTTTTGTTGAGGGTTCAAACTTCACAGACCCTCTTCGAGCTGAAATTGCCATGGCACACTCAGAGTTGAAAACTGCACCTTCACGATTTTTCATCCAAAGATCACAAAGACATCTCAGATAACCATGTTTTTTGCTGCGAACGTGAGCGTTACATACCAAATTAAAGGACCGGATAACCCCACATATGAGTCTTTACGAATCTGAAGGTTCTAAAGCACAAAGCAGTCAGAGTCTCAAATAGCTTCTACAACACGGCCTTGTCAGGAAGTGATATCAGCTTCCGACAACAGAGGGGTGGGAGAACAGGTGTAAGAGAGTGATGTGCACGACGGATGTACGAGGTATTGTGCACACAGGTGTGCGCAGCCACAACTAGCCAAAGTAAAGCCCCATCGCTCTGCCGACGCAAAACCCCATAGTCAAACTCTTTTTCATCGCGCAAATGAAATCAGGTCGTGTTGGTGAACCTGGGCGATGGCATGAGCACTACATTCAAAAGACATCATTCTAGGAACAAAATCTGCTGTAAAAGTGCAGACCAAAGACTTTGGATAACTTCGTTTGTCACTGTCAGCACATCATTCGCGCCTTGGAAAGATAGAATAACTTCATGTACTGCCGTACCTGCACATGGCCGATCTTTCGATAAAAGCAAAGCAGCACTCCACATAGAAACAGTGAACTGTAGGAAAGCAGGCACTTTTTGTTTCTAGATTTTGTCATTGAAAGCACACCGAAACTCCTTTTCTTCATCGCGCAGACGAAAGGGTTAGTATCTGCAACAAGATGTAGGTGCGAAGTGGCATCTGTCCGGCAGTGCTTTCCAAAGGGGATCGTAAGATGCAGGTGCGAAGTGGCATCTGCCCGGCAGTGCTTTCCAAATGGGATCGCATCTGCGAGAAGACGCTATGCTCATCTGCGTCACAGGTGCGAAGTGGCATCTGCCCTGCAATGCTTTCCAAATGGGATCGTATCTGCAAGAGGATGCTATGCTCTCATCTGCGTCACAGGTGCGAAGTGGCATCTGTCCTGCATGCTTTCCAAATGGGATCGTATCTGCAAGAGGATGCTATGCTCATCTGCGTCACAGATCTGTAACAAGATGTAGGTGCGAAGTGGCATCTGCCCTGCAGTGCTTTCCAAATGGGATCATATCTGCAAGAACATGCTATGCTCTTTTGCGTCGCAGAGCTTTGGTGCGAAGTGGCATCTGCCCTGCAGTACTTGGCAAATGGGATCATTGCTGCAGGAAGACGCTCATCTGCGTCCAACATGAACATCCCATTGCTCACGTAGACGCAGAGCGCCATCTCGGCATCGTTCTGCTCTCTTTTGGAATTCTGCCACACGAGCGACAATGGACTCAGGAGGGCCCCGTTCCAAAATCTCGCGAGGAGGTGGGCGCAAAAGAAGTAGATCATCGAGAGATGTGACTCTGGAGAACATGACATACAAGTGGAGCCACCAATTGTCGTCATCTAACTCGGGCAAGCGCGCACAATCAACGATCGTGCCTGTGCGCAGGGTCAAGCCTTGCGAAGCAGTGCTGGTCAAACACTGGGCATGTGTCACTTGAAAACCACAACGGCGAACTTCGTGCTTCTGCGTGCTGGGAAAGAGGACTTTCACTTCAACTGCGGGTAAGAACCAAAAACTTTTCGCCAGCTTGCAAGCCTCTTCATCTGTCTGAACATGCTTACGACACATCTCTTGAAGTGCTTCCCAATCCGGGCAGCCTGAATACCCTTTTACAGAGACCCACAAACCGGAAGGTAGAAAGCGAGGATAAAACATTTCACCAGGGGCGGTTTGGCGGTAAGCTTCTCTGTCAAGACTGTGAAACTCAAAATCGATGATCTTAGCCTGGGTATCTTGGACCATACCTGCATCACCGTCGAGCTTTGCTAGAAAGCGTATGTCCATGCCGATATGACAAGGAAACATGCCGTGCATGTGTCCTGTCTTGTTGGGATTAGTCATGTTCAGAAAGCGAAAAGCTGCGTCTTGTTTGAGGTCACAACATTCATCGGCAGCTTGCAGCATGACCAACGGAACCTGTAACTCTTTAGCATCGAGAACAGCGCGATGCGACAACATGCGCGCCAAAGAACTCCAATAGATGGACATGCAAAATCCGTAGCGAAACTTGTCTTCAAAAAGCGAGGGTCTGGGACACCAGGCTCGGCGTCTTTTGCATAGCGGCCTTGGAATTTCCGCCAAAGAGGCGTTGGCAACTTCTTCCCCTGTCGCATGCACTGCAGTAGGTCGATCAAAGGATCGCCAGACTTGAACCTCATGGTCCCTCGCAGCTCGAAAACATCGGGGATGTTTGCAAACACTTCTTGCGCGTGCTGTACTTCAGGCGCCACTGCCTCGTACTTGAGCTCGCCATCGGCATTCTTTGCATCCAAGTCATCCAGCAAAGACAACTGTGCGGTAGGCCGAAGCTGAAAGAAGTCACCGAGATGCAACACGATAGGAACGCGACCAAAAGCACAGCCGACTTTGGAGTATGTATGGGGATCGACATGCCAAGCCACACGACGACCCAACATAGCTCGAAAGTCTAGCATGTTGTACATCATAGCCGAAACCATGCTGATCTCCTCGATGATCAAGACTCGGATGCTGTTCCACAAAGTCTTCAAACGTTTCTCGGCAGTTCCTGCAGTCATGTTGCCGTTTGAAAGACTTTGTACACGCATGCAACTGGCAGCATGCAGCGTCTTGGCAGCGACCTGATCAGTCGAAATGTTCATTGCTTGTGCATTTTTGGCGGCTACGACCATCATACTGTCTTCTTCTCCTTCTGCTGGCCAAATGAAGTGCACAATGGGGAAGATCAAATTCTGCGCAATATGCGTCTTCCCAGAACCACCCTGACCGAGTAACAGTATATGATAAACGCCTCTGTTTTCTGGCGGCTTGCGCTGCTCCTCGTCATAGACCTTGTCCAAAACATCAGCAAAACGCAACATGAATAAAGTCTGGTCTTCGTTCAACTGTCGATCAGCAGGCAAAGCTGTCATCATTGCAAGAACCAAGTGAGAAGGTTTCTCATACAACTTCTGATCTTGAAACCGCGCACAATCTGCCGGCAGTCGAGGCAAAATCTTTCGCACAAAGGCAGCAGCCACGTCTTCTCTCTTGGTCTCTTCCTCTGTCGTCTTCGGGTCATCTTGCTTGCCTTGCGAGGCACGAATCCCACCGAGTAGATCAGCCCGCTGATCCTCAGTCAATGTCCCGCGCAAACACTTACACGAAAAACATGCATTTCGGACACAAGCTTTGAGACATTGAAACTGAGAAATTCCCCGAAAAGAAAGAGAACAAAGAAAAGAAAAAGAACAAAGAAGAAAAGACAATATTATACAGACCAAGTTCGCTGCTCAAATTGCCAACCTCCTGACACATGGGTGGGAGTGGTACTCGATCGCACGCAGGGGAAGATGCAAGCTCTGAACCAAGAACATCTCTCTTCATCCAGGTCTCTTTCAAAAATTCTTTGGTATAGTGATTTTTGCGACCTTGGAACTCAAAGAACAAAAGCTTCTTCAACTCTTCCGTCGAAGCACGATAGGTGATCGGCTGAAAGACTTCCGTGCAAGTCTGGGCAGCACCACGCATGTCATCATCGTCACTAACATGTTCAGCGTCCACTTCACCATCTTCTCCCTCGCCGAGACATCGGATTCGCTGAACAAATTCTTCCTGCAAATAGGCATCAGTATCCCGGCGTTTCTTGGGGCGAGCCTGGCGAGCACGGGCAAGGCCTTCCAAATTGGCGACGCGCCTCTGCGCAAGCAAAGACGAATACATAGCGACGGTAGCTCGAGGGGGGTCACCAGTGCCCCCCTCTTCGAGCTGCAAGGCGTTGGCCTGGTGAAGCTTTTCTTCCAAAAGTTCTCTCACTTCCAAAGTTTCCCAGAGCGAAGGGTACTCGCAACGACAAGCAAAACGTCTACGGCCTTGAACTTCCATGTCGTGTACCCACTCCAAATAGGCCGTGGTGAAAGCCGTTGCCGCAACATGTGAAGGATCACCCACCGGTGTCCGCTTGGGCCTGCAGAAGTCGCCGAGGGCGTCCAGGACCAACTCCTCGTCAGCGAGAGGAACGTCACGTACAGCAACTGGCCTGCACTGCAGTTGCTTGTACATGGCGTTCCTCTCGCTGTCGACCGTCAAGGGCGGCACGCTAAACCCTTCAAACATTGGAACGCGCGGCTCCGTACTCAGTCGCTGGACATGTCCGTCGGCAGCACCTTTTCCTGCACTGCATGCAACGTGAGCAACTCTTGCATGATAGTCAGCTTGTGCTCAGGGCGTCTTTTGCTCAAGTGGGCGCCTTGATACTCTTCATACGCAGTATACAAATCTGCGCATTGCTGTCCTTGTGGCCCAATATAAACATACTGGATTTCTCGCAACAGCTCATCTTCGCGCGCCACTTTGCGCCACCCTTGTAAGACCACGTCATCCAAGCCTTCACGACGAAACAGAAGTGGTTCGGTTTCAGCAGCAGTGGATGCAGAGGCTTGCGCCCGAAGAACGGAGTCGCCATAGCGACGGCGCCAAGCCTCGAAACAAAAAAATATGGCTTTTTTCGTGTACGACTTCCAGGTCCGATGGGACGCGAAGGTGAGGTGCTGATATAAGATGGGGAAGAGAATCTCTGAAGCGCTTTTCCAGTGACACCTGCGGTAGGAAGAGCTCAAGCGCATCAAAGTCTTCAAGGTTTCGGCGAACATAACGCCTCTGCGGCCTGGTACATGGTCGCCGGCATCTCGAGCTCGCTTTTCTGCTGCCGACCTTTCTTGTTCTCGCATGTGTCTCTCGGCCTCCAAGCGTTCGATGCCTCAGGATGCGGATGGACAAGTGTGACAAAAGAGGGCTACTATAGTATACAACGTACCGGATGACACAGGGTTCACACAACGTGTGCATCACATAACGGTGGTAAAACACACCGTTAAACACAGGGTTCACATCGCTACCGTAAAGTATCGTTTCGTAGTTCGTGTGTGGCAAAGCTTTGCGCCTGCATGTTTTGTTTTGTGTGTACCCATAAGAACTGATGTGAAGCCCTGAGAAACTCAAATCTTCTTGCGCAAAAGTATTCTTTAATATATACCAAAAAAGACCGCGCCTTTTCGTAGCTCTTCTAGCATACCAGCCAATGCGGGTCCAGGCTTTGTCGTGTAGGAGTTCACATAGAAGCCGCTGTTGACACCATCGCAGAAAGCTTCGTTGATGCCCACTCGGATTTGTCGCAACAAAGATAGAGTCTCCTCAGGTGGTGCCTCTTCTGTTTGCATGTCAGAGCTGCTTTCACGAGAACATGCATATAGCCAACTTTGTCGAAATTCCTTCGCTAAGTCTGCGCGAGATAACCAGGAAATTGCCTCTGGCGGTTGTGCCCCACGAACTTCGTACGCAGTTCCCGTCCATTCGTAGTGAGCCATATACCCCAAAGAATTGCAAGGGCCAATGTGAGGTTAAAAATCATCGTCAGCCATCCACAGAGCAGGGTCGATGACACGTCTCATATCCTGCACATCCAAATTGCGACGCCCAGCCACGAGACCTCCATACGAAGTCTGTACTTCAAATGGGCTCAACTGAATCGGTCGCAAACGCCCCTGCATGCCATATTCAGCTTCAGCTTCAGAACCTATGTGAAAAGACGGTCGAAGTGCTTTGCCTTTGCGACGAACACGACAGCCCTCCATAACATGAATGACATGATAGAAGCCATGACGACAAATCTTCCATCGCTGGGAGCCAGACTCGGAATATTTGTAGCAAGAGTCGCTGCACAAATGTTTCTGCAAGGATGGTGCCAAGCGATGTAGATCCTGTCCACATCAACCACAAGTGACGACACATGCAAAAGAAAGTATGATCTATTTTAT